TAATTAAGTCCATTTAAAATTAATTATGACATTTTTCTAATAAATTCACACAGCTTTACAGAGGATGCATATCACTTCAAGGTAGTCTTCCACTTAACCTCAAAACTAGAGGTGGCTTGTGGCTTGGACATACCCATCGTGCATGTCCAAGCCACAACTGGGCACCGAGTGGGAGGGATGGGACACAGCTCATTCCCAAGGGGCAAAGGGAGCCATGCTCTAGCCTAGCCCTAAGGAAGGGGAAGGGAGCTTGACCTGGCCCCAACCCAGCCCCAGGGGAAGAGGGAGAATGGCCCAGTCCCATCCAGCCTGGGGGAGGGGGCATGGCCCATCCCCATTCAGCCATTGGGGTGGGGGAATGACCTGGCCCCAACCTGCTGTGCAAGTGTGCAGGATTCAGGGTCTAGAAATTTGGCAGCCAGGGAAGGTGGTGGCCATATTCACTGCTCCCCTGCTGCCAGATTCCAGATCCCTGAGAAACCCCACCAGCCACCTATGGCTCTGTGGGCTGCAGCTGGAGACCAAGCACCCCTGAACCAACAAGGATTGAAGGCTGATTTACTACACAGATAAAAAAAAACAAACAAACAAACAAAAAAACCAAAACAAAACAAAAAAAAAACAAAAAAACCCAAAAAAACTCTTCACTCTCTTTTTTGTGGGACAAGCTTCCTCCCCCTCAAATTTACCTATAAAACTTCCAGTTAATTAAGTGAAGACACAAATAAAGGTACAATCTGACACTACAATTCTATACAGGCTGACACCACTAAACTAAGTGATATTTCTGGATAAGCACAAGAACCAGATAGTGAAATGATCTAATCAATACATATAAGTGAAAGGACTGCGTAGAAAATACCAAGAAGTGATAACTTAAACAATATATACTGGAGAAAGCATTGGAGTGATTTGATGGATAAGGTTATCAATTCTCTGGAAGGAAACAAAGGTTCATGTAATAAAACTGCAGCCCTACGCAGGTATTTTATCAGACGTGAGAGCCATTAAAGGAGTCTTTAGAGAAAAATCAACCATTAATAAGGAAACAACCCATGAAGTGTCCTTGAAATATTTGAAATTACACACAAGAGAACAGCCCTCAAACCTGGAAAGTGCATGGAAATCAAAATTATTTTCTAAACTCGCATGGAAGTCAAGTAGACATTCCAGGAAGTTTTAGAGACTAAAATCTTTTCTTTACACCAGAGTGGTTCCAGACTGAGAACTGAGTAGTTGTAGGCCAAAACTTCAGGAAAGAAAGCAACTTCACACTTTTAAGAAAAATTCCAGCCTCTGCTTTTAAAGCCACATGAAAATAGAGCTGGAGCTTCCAGATTCAGTATACATGTAAATCCTGCATGGGTAGATTTGGAGTCGGAAAGAGAGAGACTCAGGCTGAATTGAAATCCTTAAGCAGGGGTTACATATGGTTGCACAACTTGCTCCAAGTGATAAATACCAACCAGGTTTGTCCCCTTGCTCTCCAATGACACTTCAGGCAATAGAGATCCCCTGCAGGAAGGAGGTCTATGCTACACAAATAGAAGGAACTATATGAACCAAAGAGTAGGCTTTACATTACCCACCCTATTAGTCTGAGTTCAGAGCTCTGTTCATTCAGTATGTTGCCTCAGTGGTGTTTCTCCCCAGCAGCAGGCTTTAGAATCATACACTACTGTCTTAAACCACACTTTGAAAGTCTATAACCTAGACATATTCCAAGGTGCACAGCTTTGGATTTCAAGCTTCCCTACGCATGCAAAGCTATGCATCAGGAAGCCAGCTGGTGAGATGAAAGCGCCAACTGATGGCATAAACTGTTAAGACTGCTGGCAATTTACATAATCCCATTTTGAAGCACTTGCCCTCATCAAGACTAAACAGAATGAAATCAAATCAGTGTCAAGGCCAAACAATGAGTGAAATAAAAGCTAAAACTTCTCAGTAACAGCCAGACTCTGCTAGACCCTTCCAGAGCAAGAGGGCAGTCAGAGCATAAGAGATGTCTCTACCACTGGACTCTCCGCATCAGGCCTTCACCAAATGCTTCTTCACAGAGGTATAGCTGAGGCACTACTCTCTTGGGGGAAGAAGCTATGCTCCAAGAGGTGGAAAAGGGGTAGGGAAACAGGAAAAGCCAAGTCTTTTCTCTCCACATGCTTAGATGTAGTATGGCACGCACACTGAGCTTACTCCAGGAGGCATTCTGGTGCTGTGGCTTCTTTGGGACAGTATGACCCAGTATCATTCCCTCCTCCTCCCTGAAAAACAGGTACATGCCTCTAAAGACACATTTAGGATCTATTATTTAATAGATGTGGTGCTGAAGTATCCCCAGTTATTTATTTAGGGTATTTTTTGCAGTGAGGGGAGGCGACAGGGAACACGGGAGGGAGAGGAGCAGGGGTTACTGGTGGCTGCATCCAGCTGCAGCCACGACTGCCGCTGCGACCACCACTGCAGTCGCAGGCACTGGCCCCAGCCCGAAGTGGCAGGGGGGAAGAGTAGGGAATGATAAGACCTAGTCCCCAGCCCCAGCCCAAAGCAGCAAAGTGAACGTCCCAGGCCCCAGCCCAAAGGGGAGCAGGAGAATGACTCAGGCACCCAGACAGTGGTAGTAGGTAGACAGGTCAGTATTGATCTGGAAGGATGTGGGTAGTGGGGTCCCACAGGGTTTGGTCCTTGGACCTGTACTCTTCAATATCTTCATCAGTGACTTGGATGTGGGTGTGAAGTTTACTCTGTCCAAGTTTGCGGAGTTTGTGGGGTGAAGTGCATACTCCGGAGGGTAGGGAATAATTGCAGATAGACCTGGACAGGTTAGAAGAGTGGGCAGTACACAATAGGATTTAGTACAAGGACCAATGCAGAGTGCTGCACCCAGGGTGCAAAAATATCCAGCGTCCAGCAGATACATGACAAATAGATCCAAGGAGGTGATAATTCCTCTCTATGCGACATTGGTCAGACTGCAGTTGGCGTGCTGCGTCCAGTTTTGAGCGCCGTACTTCAAGAAGGATGTTGATAGACTTGAGAGGGTCCAGAGGAGGGCCACTCGTATAGTTAGGGGCTTACAGGACAAGCCCTATGAGGAGAGACTGAGGGACCTGGACCTCTTCAGCCTCCGCAAGAGAAGGCTAAGAGGTGATCTTGTGGTTGCCTACAAATTCATTAGGGGGACGCAGCAAGGGATCGGAGATGTTCTGTTCATCTGGGTGCCTCTTGAGGTAACAAGGAACAATGGTCACAAACTGACAGAGAGCAGATTTAGGCTACATATCAGGAAAAACTTCTTCATGGTAAGGATGACCAAAATTTGGAATGGGCTTCCAAGGGAGGTGGTGCTCTCCCCTACCTTGGGGATCTTTAAGAGAAGGCTGGAAGGCTGGATAGGTCATCTGACCCCAGCACTCTTTTCTGCCTAGGCAGGGAGTCGGACTTGATGATCTGTTGAGGTCCCTTCCAACCCTAGCATCTATGAATTTATACCTCAGGATACTGCAGTGTCAGAGAGGCTTAACAGTTTCCAGTTCATTGGACTGGATACTAAATGTGATGTGTAATAACCTATGCATTCTTCCTATAAAAACTAACAAATAAACTGCAAGAAGAACTTTTTCAACTACTTGCTGACATCATAAGAAGTAAGCTACAAACCTAGTAATTATAAACTCAGGTCTCAGGACTGGCTAAAATTAAATCTGAAGTTAGGATAATCTTTACAATTTAAGGTAAATAAAAATATTCAAGCATTTTTGCCATTGAAGTCAAGTCACTGACAGGGAAATAGTCCCTGATAATCAGAGCTTGTTAAAATGCTAAATTGGCTTTTGACACCAGAATCCTTTTTTGAGCATATTAAGAAAACATATGCTTCATTTCAGTTTAGTTCAGTTCACCACACCAGTTCAAAGTTGAGAAACCAACAGAAAACTGGAATAATAAAAACACACCCCCACCACCCCAGAGTACTTGTTTTCTTCTTTCTAATGAATAAAGCTGTCTAAAATTCTAAAGTCTTGAAGGACTTTTTGAACAATTACTTCAATTTTCTAATGTTATTTTGTCTTGTGCAACATATCAAATTATGAAAATGCAAATCTAGATCAAAGTGGATTTAATGTGCAGATAATGTACCCTGGCTAGTGAAAAGAAGTGTCAAATTTGGTGTACAGACTGTGTAGACTGCAATAAAAGAATCAAACAACATATATTAATGGTTACTAACCGCTGAAATGTTTAGAAAAGTTATAAAAGGAGTACAAATGAAAAATATAATGCAAATCAGTGGGTTTAAATCAGAGTCTCTTGCTTGAAAATCTAAAGCACAATAAAAATAAGCAATTTAAAACAATGTATACAGCCCAAACACATGAATATAGTGATAGAGTGAAACACTTGCATCTTCAAAGCCTGGCCTCCCTTTCTGCAAATTAAATTCTTTATGTATAGCTATACTTAGGCTGTACAGAGATTTGTGCATACACTTTAAGGAGTACAACCTACTCTCACAAACGGACCAAAATGTAAGTGTAGCTCTATGTGCAACTGTGTTTGCAAACAGCTTGACAGAAGTCTGTTTAGAATTTACCCTCCAAGTAGAAGTTTACTAAAACTTAAATGCATCTCGACAGCAAGCCGTACAATTTTATACTCTATCAATGTATTGCAACAAATCATTGAGAACAGGCAGGTTTCTCTCTCCAGAGCTATTTTTTCCATGGTCTCTGGCCATTTCTGGAATTGTTACGAATAAGCAGAAGCTTCCAAATTATTATTTTTTTGAAAATTAACAATGGAATAAAAGCCACACTATATACTTTATCCTGAGGAGCAGCAACAATGAAGTAACATAAGCCTTGAAGCCTAACACATGTCCAGAATTAATTCAGCTTGCAAATTACATCTACTGTGACAATGTATTATGACATGAAGCTAACAATTTTAAACTTGCTATTCATACGTTAACAGAGAAAAAACCCTTGTGCATTACTTACTGGAATGTAATAGATGTTCATTTTAGGGGCTTCATTGGCAGTCAGGAGCATTCCTAAAGACACACAATCACATGATAAAAATATCTGTTGAAAGAGACTAACTTTTCCAAATAAAAAAGTTATAAAGTTGTTAGAAGAAATAACATCTAATTGAATGCAGGGCACCTTAATTCTAATAAACACAAAAAAATTCAAATCTCAGGATTTTAAAGAAAAAAGAATGACTGCAATTTTATACAATGCCAAAAAGGAGTAGTTCTCTGAATGCCAATTGGAGAAAACATGAAAGAACATCCAGGGAAAGCAATATTAACCACACGCATATATAAGCATATATTGCAGCTGCACCGCAACGGCCAATTGAGCCCCAGTTAACAGCTCGTTCCAGTGCTTGCTCGCACTGGCCGGTCTCCATAGATGTGAGCAATCTAAGGCTCAGGTATGCATACCGCCCGATCCCACCATTATATTTTAAGCAACATGTCTTCTGACTGTTCAGAACAGGTCTAATTAACATTGTCCTTTAAATGGGGCCAATATTGTGTGCAGATGAAGCTATAATATTGGGGTGACGTGTTTGACAAAAACCCTGGTAAACATAGGATGGTGATCTGTAGCAGTTTGTCTGCAGAGCTTCAGTCAATAAGAAACTGAAGTTTTAAAAAACCCCCCAAAAAACACCACTTTTTTCTTTGGGTATTGGGTATATTCCAGAATGCTCTGAAAATAAGTAGTACGGTTTCACAACAGAACTGAGACTGAGAATCTCCTTGCTCCGACAGCAATTGTGTTTGGGTTCCTGAACAAACCAGTTTAACCTCTGTAGCTCAATTTGTGCAAAATGAGAAGCTTGCAAAAAAATTATTGGAACCATTCAACCTGATTTTAAAATGCTCAGGACCTGAGAAGTGCTGTAGACATTAAAATTTATGACAAACCCCAAAACTAGCATGAAAATTATATGCTAAGATTTTCATAGTGAAACTGACTGAAACAGGTATTTAGCCTATTTTTTCTACTCTAATCTCAATTTTGAGTTTCCTGTGCAGGTGACCTTTAACATAAATAAGAGGAAGCATGAAGGGAAAGAAGTTAGATAACCTTGCAATCTAAAAATGTTCTAACAGAGTCTACTGAGACTATGAATAATGGGATCAATTATCACGTAACTGGAGGGCACATATACAAACTTACATCCAATGAGAGGTACATAATTAACATGGGTGGGGCAATTCTTTCCACCTCTAATTCTTTTACTAAAAATACAGAATGCAGCTGGACTCTACAGGGATGAAAAATGGCTGCACATGTTTGACAAAGCTAGTTACAGCAGCTCAGTTCAGCAAAATAAGGCTAAGAACCCAGTTCAAAACAGTTCACAGGCAGCCTAAATAAAAGCAAAGATTTATAGTATGGTTCACGGGTTAATGGTCCCTTGAAGTATCAGTAGTTTCACTGCTGCTGGGGAAGTTAAAAAGCATTTTATTTCTAGTGCATGGAGAAAATACCAGAGACCAAGGCAGAATGGTAGGAACAAGATCACTAATTATGCCCCATGCTTCAAAGACAACAGCAATGGAAAGCCTTCTCTATGGGAAGTTCCCACAAAATAAATAAAGGGACAATAAGCTCAGGGATAGTACCTGGCTGTCTACTTCTGGGGAAATATTGAAGCAGAAGAGGAGAGTCTTGATCAAAGGAAATGCTTGCTATGTATTCATCTACTGTCTCTCCTCCTTAGGTCTAACCAACTTTCATAGAAAGATGACCACACCTATGAAACAGCACAATTAACTGGATTATATGCAATAGTTTTCAGGCAAAAGAAGCCAAGAGTTGGACAGGATATGTGACTGATTCTAGCCAATGAAAGATCAATTTCCTAACACAGTCTTTGGGAGAGAGGGACAAAGGGACTCTACAACTAAGTTTAAAGAATACTCATAATTTTGGAGGGCCACAGAAAAAACAGACTTGCAAATATCCATGTTCTGTAGGCTACTGACAGACATTCACTTAATGGCACAATTGGACCTGATCTGCAATTCCAACAATCACACCCTCCTGCCACGTCACATATCAGCTTTCTCTCTTTCCCTCTCCTCTTCCTTACTGAAAAGGAACACGGATACAAGAACCTGGCCCACAAACATAAAAGGTTTCCAACCCCTGCAAGATGCTACATTTCAGTACTGTACTCTACAAACTGTCTTATACGTGCAGAAGGGTCTATTTGCCAAGGAGATTATGAGTAGCGAACCAGGTTGATTTTTTTTTTTTTGTTAAAACCTTTCAACTAGAGAAGTCTGCTCTGAAAAACTGAAGTTCTATCAATACTGAAACTATTTCTGAAACTATCCTGGTGTATTTTCCAAAAACATCTTCAAATTGTATACTTATTGTACAGTTTGACATAATTGTCAAACCATTAAGATACAAACAGGAAATGCTGCTTTACAAAGCATGCTATAACGTTTCTATAAACACCAAATTCAAGTAAAAAATAAAAAAAATTAAACCAGAATTAAAAAAAAAAAAAATGAAACATTTATTCAAGACTGAAATGTTTTGGGAAAAAAACCCTTTTCCCCCCCAAAATTTGTTGTTGAAAAATTTCAGAAGCGATACAGATTCAGCACAAAAATGAAATGTTGAAATATCAGTTTCCAGCAAAATGAAAATGTCAAATGAAAACCAGTTCTTTCAACCATGGACATGCTTGGTTTGCATATTTTTCCTCCAAAGCACCTACTACTTGTAAGCTGGAAGCAGGCTAGATAGACCATAGGTCTGACACACCACAGCAGTACTTATATTCTCAGATCCAGGGGCTGAGGCTGAAAAGCACATCTACTCGTGTTCGTTTTCATGGGGCCCCCTTCCAAATACCGCAGTCTGCACTGCCATTCTCCTAATCTAAAACCTCTGCAAATCCCTCAGTCCTACCACAAGTCACCATCTGTCAGAGCCACAAGATTCTTATCCACACCCAAATCCCTCTGCCCCAACCCTCTTCTTTTCCTGAACTACCCCAATCACCACACCCAGAGCACTGCTCAAACTCCCCCTCCCTGGTCAGACTCTCCTGGCACCAAAACACCAAGTATTGTGCATGCTTCATATTACAGGGTCATGGATCAAGAACCCCTTATCCAAAAGGATACTGCAATGCTCAAAACATGAGTATATTGTCATTTCATCTTCCCTCTGGTTAGCAAACACTAGCACTCTTCTATAATAATGCCAAGATGGAATATGTAACATGCCCATCACTCCTGCATATCTGCATACACAATGGCTTATCTAGCAGAAGAGTCCCTGTTAAAGATACTGTAGAAATTAGCAGGGCACATTTCCCAAAAACATAACAGCTCCTTAAGAATAGTAACCTACCTACAGGTTAATCTGGTTTCTGCTGAGGGTAAAGGTCAACTCAGTGCACAAGTGTAGCTCCAAGCATCTCCTGAAGCCATGAAGACATTGAGGCCATAGGCTACCTAGAAGAATGCTTGCGCCAGACCTGCACCAGTCCTGCCCATTTCAGTCGTCCTGAAAACCCTATTCTAGACAAAAGTGTTAACCAGAGTTTGCTAACTTAGGTTATAGCTACAGGAGCAGCAGGTCACCTAGGTTATAAATCAAGTTGGGGACTCAGATTTCTGACAAGTCTGAATGTGGATTTTCTTGGGTTAGCAGTTCAAGTTACACCGTCTTCCCTACTCCTTTTATTTAATTTAAGAACACTCTATTTTCTACATTTTAGACGGCCTTTGGCTTTTGAACCAAAGAGTAAAGATGTGTGTTATGCCATGTGCCATATGTCAATCTAAACTATGTGCAATATTTTTTAAAATTGTTTTCCCAAAGGCCAGTTCAATGCCATGAACTAGTAAAGAAGGCCCAAGCAACTGAGACTATTTTGGGAACGGATCTCAAACTGAACAAATCTCAACTGTTAAGAGACCCAGCTCTGCACAAAACATTAAAAAACCAAATAATTTAGAACAGTGCTGGTTTTTTTCCCCATGGGATTGGACCTCAAAAATCCCCTGCTCAACTGACTCCAAATTTGGACCGTTAATCCTTCATGTGGCAGAGGAGACTTCAAGGCATTCACTGTAGGAATGAAGATTTGAATGTTTGGAGTCACCTGCTAAAAAGAAAGTAAGTTCAGCTTGGTGGTCTGCTCTAAAATACGATATAATAAACTGAATTATAGAACAGGAGTATCCTAGCCAGAATGTAACACCATGTTTACCCAGCAGATTTTACTCTAAAGACTACAATCTCCCTTTCTCAAAATACAGTAAAAAAGCTGTGCCTGCTATATCATGCAACCTGGTACTTTTCAAGTGCCCTACTGGATTAATGGTTTCTAGGATGCCCTTTATTCTGTGTACACACATTCTTCAAGTCAGAATCTATACCCTTGTGCTGTACTCACAGCTCACATAAGAAAGATTAAGTTTCAAGACAATGACCATGAATTTACATACTATTTTTATCCAAATGATTTCCCAAAGGTTTTACTAACCAGCAGTGAAACATAGCCACCACAGCACACAGCAACAATAAAAAAAAAAAAACTTCAGAAGAGAAAAAGAATAACATCTTTAAATTGGAGGAGAAATGTAAAACATGGGATTGATTACAATGCAAAAGAAAAAGCCTTTCCACCCTAGGAAATCTCTGAAAAAGCAGACTAAATGACTTTTTTTGTGAAGGAAGTCTGCAGTAAGGGGCTTTACCTGTAAACAAACTTAGTTCATTTTACACATACCTGAATTAGGATAAAGACAGACATCATTGATATCATGTTCTGGCTCCATTGAAGTAAATATTTTTCCCTGAAACAATAGGGAGAAAAATACATTACAGGGAATTCACTTAATGCTTTCTTAAAACACAGTTACAGACTGAAAATAGGCCTTATAGTGGCTAAAAAATACAATGCAAAAATACAGCAAGCAAAGCCTAAAGCTAACACGCTTTTTCAGTGGGACAGAATACTGATACACACAGGGCAGGTCCACAAATTCATCATTACTACCCAGAGTTGACCAGACCTTCTAAAAGGAATGCAGCCTATTTGTTGCTCAACCCAAGCCACAGCACTCGCTGCATGCTGGCACCTGAAGTCTAACTGCTGCAACTTCTATAGTGAAGATGTGGATGTCAGCAATCTATTCCAATGTATTTTATGAACTGGGTGGGGCCCCCAAGATCCTGGCATGTCACCAACAAAGTCCTTTTTTGTGATGTCTAATTTTCTTGGTTGTAAATAGTTTCATTCTAACAGAAAGCCAAAATGATGGGCTGTTTGTGGGATTTCCCCCACCCTGCTCTCATCTGTGTAAAATGAGGCACGGCCCAGCACTTCAATACAAAGTCAGGAAATTACAGGAAACGTAAAAAGGCCTGAATAAGAGGAACCAGTTGTCACCGACTTAGGAAGATCAGGATGGAAGTTATAATGGCAATTTATAATAATGATGTGCTAAGCCTGCAATTCTGGGATTTCGTGCTAGGTCATGTATTTGATTTCATATACTGTAAAGACATCAAACTCCCAGTTTATAGTCAAACTTTACATTTATTATGGCAGAGGAAACGTCTTTTCAAATGCAGTACAACATAACAATGAAAAAAAAAAAAGGTAAAAAGGAAGTAATGTTGCATAAAAATATGAACAAGAGAAACGGACTGCCTGCAACCTCTGCCATGTTTAGTTCATGCTGAAACACATCCCACAGATGGATGAGATGTGAACTGAGAGAAATAACCGCAACCCAGATTTCTCTCAAGTTCTACTTTTAAGTGTTTTAAGGCCAGTTCCTTCACTGACAGCATGCGAGGTCAGGGGGTCTGTTTGTTCTAACATACTGAAAGAGGACCTGCTAAGTCGGCTTCTTAAATGGAAGTAAAAGCTAGCTATGATATAGTCAAGTTATAGTTGTATATATTAAACTGCCTTCTACCACCACTCAGCATTTATGCCACATCTTTCAACCAAGGGTCTCAAACCTTCAAATCTCATGAAGCATGAGCAATTTTGCTTGCTTGATCCAACACTGAAAACAACCTCCTCACAGGTCAAATGCAATTTCTGCTTTAAAATGTATATCACCACTAGATGTAAATGTAAATTTATATAAAGACTATGTATAATCTACAACACAGATTTAGATAATAAAAGCACTGAGCAGTTAAACTAGGGACTAGAGAATGGGACTGCTATGTATGATGCTTTCAGTGCACCAAGGAAAAGTGTTAAAATTGTGCCTTAATTTTATTACAGAAATATTAGCAAGATGTACAGAATGTTAAGCACCACGTTGCAGACAAAAAAGGACAAAAGATGCCTCACAAACAAACCCTTAGTTCTCAAAGAAATACAAAATCTGTCCCGATCCTCCAGGTACCGCTCCCACTACAATAAATGTTCCAAGACTTTTTTTTTTTTTTTAAATAGTCAACATTTGAAGTTCAGGAAAAGGAGAGGCAACAGCCTTGATGTAGCCATTGGGCAGCTGCTTGCTGCCTACACTTACCAGCTGATATTTCTGTTACGTCTTCTCTTAGCACGTCTACACAAGATGTTTATTGTGGAGCTGCACGATTAGGTCCGCAGTAAATATCTCTGCCTCTACACATGCACCCATATTAGGGCGCACAAAGCAAACTCCTCAGCTGGATAACACTTGTAGATACAAGCATTAGCTAGCTCCGGAGTTTGTTTCATATGCCCTAACAGGGGCACACATGGAGAGGCGGAGATTTACTACAGGACTAATTAGGCAGCTCTCCTCAGTGTATCTACAAGAGTATCTCCAGTATACTCAGGAGTTTTTGCTCCTGGGCGCACGGTCAAACAGCGCACCCAAGAGAAAAAAAACCTAACAAAACTACAGAGCCATAAGCTCTGGAGTTTATTCATGTGCATTAATTGCATGTGTAGACATGTCCTCTCCCTCCGATTCTGCAGACAAGAAGTGCTTGCACTGTTTGTCACACTTATTACTTCATCATGCAAAGCACGCTTCAATAACCACAATGGTCAAAACCTCTACTTTATACTGAATCCAAAATTTCTGTGCATATTATAAGGGTTTTACAGACAAGAAAGTTTGAGGAGGGGAAAGCCCAGACAAAATACTTTAGTGCTTTTATACTCAAACTTCTAAGTCAGCCAGTAAATAAGAAGGTTCTGTGGCCCACTTTTTACAGAGGCATAAGCATGAGCTTACATGTCTGCAGGGATCTAAACTGAAGGACAGGATCAGAACAAAAACTTGTATCCCATTATTCTTCTTATTCCCCTGAAGCGGGTCTCGCCTACCTTTTGGGTCCCCCCCTTCCAGCTGAATGCTGCCATACCATCCATCCCTAGTCTCTCCACTGATGATTAATAAGAGCCTGTCTCCAACCCCACCCCACCTCAGTAGATAAATCATCAAGCTCCCCACCAAAAGGCACGTCTCAGCACGGGCTATTCTGGTATCAAAGCCAGGTACTTTCCACCCCAAATTCTGCCTCAGTTGGTTCCCAAGCAGGGAGAATAAAGAACCAATATTTGAGCAAGGGAAAGTATAGGCAGCTGGAACACATTCTAGGAAAGGCCAAAGATGTCCCCATCCCCAAGCAGGAAGAAACTCTCATTTATTCCATTGCAGAGGCCAGCTAATCTCTATGGTGTTCATCTTTGACTGAGAGAAACGAGGCAATTAGGGAACAAGGAGAGAGGCCAGTAACAGACCACCTATTTTTGATAACAGAAAAACATATAAGAGGTTGTGAGACTAGATGCTTTGAGAAGCCTTTTGATGAAAGAAGGTGCGTTTCCCATGGTAGAAAAAAAAAGCATGGTCCTAAGCAATGTGGAAGCACATTATAAAAAACTATTGAAAGGTTTGTGACTGCAATTGATAAGGTCCACTATGTAGTCAGAAGAGAAGGGGATCAGAGTGCAATGGCGACAGAGCCTTTGAGGAGGAACTGTGACTAATGAAAGAGGCTCCAATCAAGCTAAAATTACAATTGCACTATTACAGACCTGCCAAATAGGACACAGTTCCACATAAGAGATTGCTAGTCAGGCAAATAAAGTGGATAAACTGTCAAGCTGTTCAGAAGAGGCCCATGTGGATACTGAGGCTGAAAGCTCAAAATCTGTCTGAACTTTTTGCACCTACTGTTTAAGAAATAATCTACCATAAATTAGTCAGCATATACAACCTGACTTGCAAGCTGAAACGTGGGTGTCACCTTCAATGCTATTTTCTTGTCCTAGCAGATGTGTGTAAATATACTTAGCAGCTAATCTCACCAAAACAGAGTCCTTGAATAAGTTGGCAGTCACAGGGGTTAGAGCTAAATGTACTTAAGTGCACTGTATAATGCATGTGTGTGTACATGCATACACAGAGAGTGCTTAAGAGTCAGGAGAAGGAAGATATGTGTGTGTTTTTTTAAAGCCACTAAAATTTTACAAATGAGTTTGGCTTGGGAGAAGGCTCTGTCATCAAACCCAGATTTCTGAACATATAGGCTACTATTTGGCCAACAGATCTACAGGAATCTCTATTCCAACCCCTCATTCCATACCACAGCTGCAAAGTACCCACTGTAAGGCCCACACACCTATGGTGTGATGTGAAAACAGACACAAGGCATCACCAATACAGTGGCAAGGAATTTGGTAAGTATAACATGCTGGACTGACACTCAGAAGTAGGTCACAACCCTTGTTACAGAGGAAGACGACCTTTGCCCCCTGACGGTAGCCAATCGAACCACAGGAACATTTCTTCCTGTCCCCAAAACTGGAGATCAATTTAACCCTAAGCATATGAGCAGGATCCACCACCCACTGAGAGGTTCTTTGTAATGCTGGCTACATGGTTAATTAGCAGTTAATAACAATGAATGTGTGCACCTGCATCTCTCATTAAAATTAATCCTTGTCAAAAGATCCTCCTGAACAGTCAAACAAAAAAGTAACTATGCTTACAAATTAGGCTATGTTGAAGTGTGGTGATAAAAGTTTAAATTCAAATCAACAAAATGATGAAAATAGGGAATTTAACCTAATACCATAAAACATACACTTACCGTGTCTCTGTTCCACATTTTTATGATTCGTGAATCTGCAGATATAATTAAATCTAAATGATCCTGAAACTGGATTGATTTAACAGGCAGGCCATACTGGTGATCTTTGACTATTAATGGGTTACTGGATCGGAGATCATACAGCAAAACCTGGAAGAGTAAGGACAATTACATGTATGCTAGACTATGAGGTTTCAGCTGAGGTCTGGATCTATACTTCAAGGTTGTTTGGATTTAAACTGGTGCACATTATACCTTGGGCTAAACCAAAAAATAGTTTGCATTTAAAATGCTAAAGGAAGAGAGAGAAACATTAAACATAAAACAAAGAAAGCATTTTCCGTTCTGAAGTTATTAAATAAGCCAGACTTACTCTGAATTCATTTTTTTTTACCCCCATTTCCAAAGAGATGCTGCAGCCATATGAAAAATATAAATACACTTAAGCATTTATCATCTTTCCCAACAAATAATGAAAAAGTGCATACAGATGCTTTCCAAGATTTCTTAAAAGTATTTTGTTAGTAATCCGTCTGGTATGTTCTGGAGCTACCTTCCTTTCAGGCATCAACTGCTAGAGTATAATGTGTAAACCTAGGTTCATAGAAGTCTTGGAATTTGCCCATTCTTAGCACTGGAGGATGCCACTGTCACTGAAAGTGTATTTTTGGAAGCAAAAAGATATGACAAATTCATGGAGAACCAGTCTATTGAAAGCTATTAAACAGAAGATCAGATATCTAAGTTCTCATGTTCAATACATTCTAATAGAGAGGGCACTGGGCTGAGATTGGGGAGACCTTGATTCTAGTCCTACGGACTTGTGAGATCCCAAGACAACATCTGAGTTTCCTGTATGTGAACAGTAGATGCTAAAGTTTTGAAGGAAAGTTAAGAACCAAACTGTACAGGGAAACAAAGCTATGCTGCTACTTAGCACTATTCTCCTCTTTCAAAGCCATAACACATTGTACCTTATTTCATTAAAGTGAAGAGCTCTCTCTCTCAAAGAGCAAGGATGTGCAGAAAGAACATAACAAGAAGAATGGCAAGAGAGCAATGTGACTACACAAGAAACTTTCAGGATGCAAAAGCAAAAGCACACAGGCAATGGAAAAATGTAAAGGTAACTAAGGAACACACAGGGACAAAAATTAGGAAGGAAAAGATAAAGAATGAGCTGCATCTCAGAAATGTTAAAGACACCAAGAAGAGGTTCTCTAAGTATAATGGTCACAAAAGGAAGACCAACGAAGCAGTGGATTCACTGTTAACTAGCCACGGGGAACTCTTAATAGAAGATGCAAAGAAAGTAGAGCTGCTTAACAGCTATTTTGCCTCAAGTCTTCATGAAAAAATTAAACTGCATCTAGACTCCTATAAGAATTATTTGCATAAGAAAGGGGACAAGCTGAACAATGACATAACAAAAAACATAGATTTTGATGGGTCTGAATGAATTCAGGTCAGCAGGGCCTAATGAACTTCATCCTAGTGTTCTGAAGGAACTGGCAGAGGCGATCTCACAACCCTTTGCCATGATCTTCCATAGAATCATAAAAAATTAAGGTTGGAAGGAACCTCAGGAGGTCATCTAGTTCAACCCCCTGCTCAAAGCAGGACCATCCTCAACTAGGACACTCCATCCAGAGTTCTGTTGAGCCAGGCCTTAGAAACCTCCATCATCTCTCTAGGTAATCTGTTCCAGTGCTGCACTGCCTTCCTAGTGAGAAAGTTTTTCCTAATATCCAACCTAAACCTCCCTTGTTGCAACCTGAAGTCATGGGAGACAGACCAGATACCAGAGGACTGGAAAAGGGAAAAAAGCAGAAAGGTGGTGTCTCAGTGGGGCAAAGGAAAAGGGACGGGAGACTCCTTCCATGGTGGGGCCCGGGGCAGAAACAGCCCACCCACATTGAAAAGAGAAAAGCCCCAAAGACAGGGCAAACTTACCCATTGCAGAAATAGATGGGCCGGATGAGCCATGCTGAGATGGAACACCCGTGAAGTTTGTCAGCCACTTTTATCTGTGGCTGGATGACGTCACAGAAGAACGCTGCCTGGCAGAGATAAAAGCTGGCAGCAGAGAAACAGCTGTGGGGATGCTGCAGGGAACAGGCTGCAGAGCTGTCCCCCGAGCCGGGCAGGCACTGCACAGGCAATAGAGAGAAAAGCTGAGGAGGGACCCATCGAAAGGGTCCAATGGCAATTAAGGGATCGCAATCCCAGAGAGTCGTGAAGCTGAATCAGGGAGGAGGGTGTCGAGGGACAGTGGGACTGCAGATGCCAGAGTTGTGAGTAGGGGTGGGCTGAGCCCACCCTGCCCTTTTGTTTCAGTTAATTGTTTTTTTCCTTGATTTTCCCTAAGCCCTAGGACAGGAAAGGGCCAAGGAGATGCTCAAAGGACAGAGCGAGCTGGGGCAACGTCGGGGACAGCGGCACAGTGAAGAGAGCCTGGCATATCACCAAAGACTGTCCTATGTCCTGAAGGTACCTGGCGGGGGTGAGAACACCAGGAGCCAAGTAGACAGGGAGGACCCAGGAGGCAACACCAGAGGGTGAGCTAACCGACCATCGACTGGCTGTCCTAAGAGGCTGGTGCATGACTGGGGTGTAGGGGAGGTGAAGCCCCAAGAATACCTGCTAGGAGTGATGCCCAGCCTGTGAGGAGCAACAGCAGGGAGCCCCACCACCGAATAGAAGACTCAAGTTGTGGCAGGCAAGTGTCAGGGTTTCCCTTGGGGAGAACGCGACCCGACATTGAGACTACAGGAGCAGCCTCTGCGGTTGACCCCAGGCACATGGCTCCAAGGCAGCCAGGGAATGTCTACACAAGGCTAGGCAGGTACAGGTGGATTTGGGGAACTACAAACCCATTAGCCTCACCTCAACGTCTAGGAAGATAACTGGAGCATACCCTAAGGAATCCCATTTGCAAGCATCTGAAGAAAGAAAGGCTGATCACAAGCAGCCAGTATGGATTTACCAAGAACATGTCAAACAAAACTGATCTCCTTTGACAAAGGAATAACTTGGGTGGATGAAGGGAATGCTGTGGATATAGTGCATCTGGACTTCAGCAAGGCCATTGACAAGGACCCACATGACCTTCTCATATAGTAAACTGTGGGCTAGAGAAAACTACTATAAAATGGATAGACAGCTGGCTCAGTAGCCACAAGCAAAAGGTAATTATAACTGGATCCATGTCAGAATGGCAAGAGATTACAAGTGGAGACCCACAGGGTTCTCTCCTAGGCCCAGTGCCGTTCAATGTGCTTATTATTTGGATGCTGGTGCAGAAAGCTTCTTGATTAAGTTTGCAGGCGACACGAAACTGAGAAGGGTTATGAATGCAGAGGATGGGATAGCAATTAAGAAGGATCTAAATAGTTCGCAAAGCTGGGCTAAGGCTAACAGGATGAAGTTCAATGCCGACAAAAATAAGGTACTATATGCTGTGGGAAGAAGTCCTAACATGAAGGCTTCTCTCTTCAGGAAAGGCAGGACAGTAATACTGAATAAATGAAATGGTGTTGGACAGACCCTGTCTGTATCTTGAACCAAAATGAAGAAAGACAGTTGAGAAAACCCCATCCTGTTTCATTTGTCACAAGCAAGGTAGAAAGAGAATGTTTAGAGGTGTTCAGTTCAGTAGAAAAAAATATAGATATCTATACAAAATAAAATGGATAACCAGTAACTCTCTCATGCTACTAGGTCAAAATCAAGTTCACATGTATATAACTGACTCCTCCTTTAGTACACGTGTGCT